CTGTGGAATTCAGCTAAAGCAGTCCTTAGAAGGAAATTTAGAAACCGTTTCTCTATTTTTCTAATGTAAAGGGCAGTGGGGTCATATCTGAAAACTGAAATTTAGTCACTTTCTGGGACTTGAGACCCACACTGTAAAAGTGGGCAGAGGACCCATCACTAGGTAAACACATTAAGATGAAGAAATCAATACGCACTAACTCTAATTTTAGCTGCACTTCTACAATTTCTCAAACACCACTAACAAACCTAAGTCACTAAGAAAAACTATAACAATGTTTAAAGTATCTTCTGTTGTATGTCTCAATGTCCAAAGAGTGTCCCAACCAATCTGGCTTGAAATTTTCAACTCAAGCTATTTAATAGGCTATGTTTCCAATTAGACTGAATAAAACAGAATAAAATAGGAATTCTGAAAAAGCAAATCTCCATTAGCTAGCTTCTTGTGACTAAAAACACAAAAACCGAATTTATACCTTTTAAAATAACCAGAGGTCACGACAGTTATCCAAAAAATGTTACATACACAAACTTTTGTTAGAAAAGAGGCACATGAAAAATCCAACTTTATACCTTAAGAAATTAGTAAAAGGGCAAAATAAACAGTTATAATGGGAAACTCAACATTAAGTCTATCAGGAGTCTGACTCTCAGAGAGGAGAGTTAAGAGAGGAAGGGGAAACAACGAGAGAGATCCTGGCTGGGAAATTTTCAAGAAGTGATGAGAAACATCAACCCATAAAATCAGAAAGCCCAAGCAGAATAAATAAAAGGAACATACTTCGGGGTGTATCACGGTGACACTGCAGGAAATGAAAGACAAAAAGAAAAATCTTAGACGTGGCCACAAAAAAGGAACGATTGCTCATTTCCGAGTACTGACAATGGACTTCTCAAAAGCGACAGGGGGAAGTCAGAAGACCACAGAACATCTTCAAGAAAATAACTGCTAACCCAGAACTCTCTACCCGGCAAAAAAGTACCTTTTAAGAACCAAGATGAAGTAAAGGTCTCTTTGGACAAAACCCAAGTGAGTTAGCCACTGGTACAATTTTCACGGCTACCGTCCTAAGATGCCTCTATGTAAAATGCACATAGACTAAAACACAAAAAAGTTTACCAGTGAAATTTTATAAAGTCATTATACAATAAAAGCTAAATTTACTATAAGAATAAATAAAATAATCTACCCTCTTCCCCTTGGGAGTTAAAGCTGATCCTCAAGTCTGAACTGTAACAAATAATTACCCTATTTTTGGTAAAGTAAAGAAACTGAGGTGGGGACAGGGATACTATACTATCTAGTCCCAGATGAACATCTTATGGTCATTACAAAGGGCAGTTGCACTAGAAGGACCCCGTCTATGAACACGTGCACCAAAGCTAGATAATAAGCAAACACAGAGTGCCAGGTGGTCTCAAGACATAGAGGGAATAGTTTTTAAAAATCTGTTAGGACATGACTGGGCCTACAACACAGGACAGTCCACTAATTGATGTATTCACCACTTCCACCACTAATTGATGCATATTTCTGTCCTGTGTCACCACACATCAGCCCCCTAATCACACAGATACTCTGCCAGGAGCTTTACCGAACGAGGGATAGCTGCAGAAAACACCACAGTAAGCCTAGAAAGTGCACGAAAACACTAAGCTCTGTGGCGGAGTAAACCTGGACAGATTTGTATTTGCACCGTGCCCGGTCCAGAGCAACTGCAGAGTTGAGCCGCACAATACACGGTTGGTTCTCCACCCAGTCATGTCTTACGGATTTTCAGCCCTTTGAACATCTTCCCAGCTCATTAGATGATCAGGTCCTTTGAGCAGATACTCTACCTTATTCACTTACAATAGCATTTAAGAATTGTTTTGGGGCTCCTGGGTGGCTCAATGGGTTAAGCCTCTGCCTTCGGCTCAGGTCATGATCTTAGGGTCCTGGGATCGAGTCCTGCATGGGGCTCTCTGCTTGACAGGGAGCCTGCTTCCTCCTCTCTCTCTGCCTGCCTCTTTGCCCACTTGGGATCTCTGTCAAATAAATTTTAAAAATCTTTAAAAAAAAGAATTGTTTTGGCCAGGCTCTGTGCCCCTGAAGAGAGGTGACCTGAGTCTCTGCCTCTCACTTCTGACAGCAGCAAAGACAAGGACACAAAGACTACAAATAAGGTTGTGCAGACTCTGCTGTAGGAAGATGGGGGAGGTCACTCTCCATAGACAAGGTACGTGGACATGATGGAAAGGCACAATGCATTCAGGGCCAAGGGTGTGCTTCTAAGGATGTTTGGTTTAGGAGGAGGAGAAAGAGGGAGGGCCAGACTAGAAAGTCTCACCTGCAACTGCTCAGGAATTCAGACTTTACCCTGTGGACAACAGCCAAACGCGATCAGATAGGCTTTTTTTAAGGAAGCTATAAACTCTGGCACTGGAGTCGAAATGAGAAGGAATGGGAAGAGGCAGGAAGGAAGCAGGAAGACTGATCTATCTGTCCGGAGGCTGACCAAAGAGTCCAAGGAGGTCTTCCCCTAATTTCTGCCCCCTGCGGCCCCTAGCTCTGCGCCTTCTGCATAGCAAGAGAACACTGTTGGACTGACCTGACAGGAAAAACCCTCAATTTCTTAGAAAGGGCTTTCCTGCTTTCTAAGACAATTCCATCCTCAAGATGGGGGCAGTGGTGGCGGGGGGTGGGGGGTAGAGAAGCAGCCACAACATCATTTATCCCCTGCTAAAACTACCACTGACTTTCACACCATCCTAATATACAGCTAACATCCTGAAGAACCCGAGTTCTCACAGATTCTCCTTGTCTTCATGTTATCACATGTTCACGGATTTCAAAACACTGGTTGAAAGAGTTCTGAAAAAAAGTCTGCAAAGCCAAAACGCTGACCAGACGATGCCACACATACATTTTCAATAACAAAACGAAGGGAGGACTTTAATATATAGATCGTGCCAGTTCTGTGTTTCTCCAAATAATCTAGTTTCAGATGTGCATTAATTCATCCACCAAGATACGAATCTTCAACGCATACTCCCAAGAACTGAGACCTGTTCCAGAAGTTGAACGCAATCAATAGTAAAGACTTGGTAGACTACTTAAAATAAGATGGCATCTAGCCAATGCCATCCCTTTCCAAATTCCAGCTGGGTTTTGGTTTTTTGAGGTTTGGGGTTTTGTGGGGGGGTTGTTTTTGTTGGTGGTGGGGGGGGGGTTTTTGCCTAAATGGACAACCTGGTCCTAAAATTTGTATGGAAATTCAATGGACCCAGAAGCCCAAACAATCTTGAGAGAAAAAGAACAAAGATGGAGATTCACACTTAAACCAATTTCAAAACTTACTACCAAGCTATGGTAATCAAGATGGTATGGGACTGGCATAAGGCTGGACATACATAGGTCAATGAAATAGGACTGGAGGCTCATAATAATGGAGGTCTCTCAATAATGAGAGGACAGTCATTTCAACAAATGGTGCCAGGACAACTGAATATCCACACATAAAGGAAAGAACTTGGAGTCTGACCTCACTATGTACATAATTAATGCAAAACAGGTCATGCAAAGTTAATGCAAGAGTTAAAACTATAGAACTCTTACAGAAAGAATATAGAGGTGGAGTCTTTCTGGTCTTGGGTTTGGTAATGGTTACTTAGATATGAAGCCAAAAGCGTAGTGACAAAGAAGAATACAGAAATTGTACTTGATCAAACTAAAAGTTTTGTGTTTCAGAGGCCACTCTTTTTTACTATGAAGTAAAAAGAGTCCACAGAACACTCCAAAACTATTGGAAAATATTTGATAGGGGACTTGTATACAAAATATATAAAAAAGTCCTACAGTCCCTTTTATCTACAGGGATATAAGATATAGATATCTTTATATCTATGTATAGATAAAGAGAATTTTTTTAAAAAGATAAAGCGGATTAAGATGTGTGAACTTCTAGTAATAACACAGAAAGTCACAGAGATGAAAAGTACACAAGAGAATATAGTCAATAATATTGTAGTGAGCAATGAGTAATGTACAGAATTACTGAATTATTGTACACTGAAAACTAATATAACATTGTATATTTCAATGAAAATGTGTTTAAAACTCCTAAAAACCAGTAATAAAAAGGCAATCAATTTAAAAATGGGCCAAGGATTTAAAGAGATTTTTCTCGAAAGAAAATATACAAATGGGAAGTACATGAAAAGATTCTCAACATCATTAGTCCTTAGAGAAATGCAGATCAAAACCACAGTTAGATGCTACTTCTCACCCATCAGGATGATTGAAATCAGTATGACAAGATCAAGTGCTGGTGAGGATGTGGAGAAATCAGAACACTTAGGCTTTACTCGTAGGACTAAAAAATGGTTTCACCCCCTTGGAAAATAGTTTGGCGGTTCATCAAAATGTTGAACACAGAGTAGTGCATGACCCAGAAATTCTCCACTTAGGTATATTCCAAAAATTCATACGTGAATTTTCACCAGCAGCATTATTTACAACAGCCCCCAAGTGAAACAATTCAAATGTCCATCAACTGATAAATGACAAAATACAGTATCCCCATAGGATGGAATATTATTCACCAATAAAAAGGAATGGGGTGATAATACATATGACAACATAGATGAACGCTGAAAACATTACACTAAGTAAAAGAAAAACCCACATATTGTATGATTCCATTGCTATGAAATGTCCAGAATAGATGATGTCCATACAGACAGGGGTTTGAGACAGGGGTTTGAGATGGGGAATGACTGCTAATGGGTACAGGGTTTCTTTTTAGCATAATGAAAATGTTCCTGCTCACTTCGGCAGCACATATACTACAGGCAGAACGATACTGGGGCACCTGGATGGCTCCAACAGTTAAGCATCCAACTCTCAATTCCAGCTCATGATCTCAGGCTCATGAGATCAAGCCCGAAGTGGGGTTCACACTGGGTGTGGAGCCTGCTTAAGATTCTCTCTCTCCCTCTCCCCCATCATGCATCTGCACTCCAAATAAATAAGCAAGTAAGGAAATAATAAAATTGGAAGAGTACAGACAAGATTAGCATGGGCCCTGCACAAGGATGACACACACATTTGTGAAACATTCTGTATTTTTTCTTGCCATTTGCAACAATGTGGATGGACCTAGAGAGTATAACGCTATTGGAGGTAAGTTTATCAGAGAAAGACAAATACCCTATGATTTCACTCATATGTGGAATTTAAGAAACAAATGAGCAAAGGGGGAAAAAAGAGACAAACCAAGAAACAGACTCTATACTATAAAGAGCTGATGGTTACGGGGGGGTTGGGGGGGCAGATGGGTTAAATCAGGGATGGGGATTCAGAAGCGCACTTGTCATGAGGAGCACAGATTGATTAAAATAAAAACTTAAGAAAAACTTGTTCTAATATGAGACTGGTGTTGGTTACATTAGTATGTGAGTACACTAAAAGCCACTGAATTGTATACTTTTAAAAGGGTAAATTTTATGGTATATGAATTAGATCTTAATAAAGCTAATAAACGTATAGGTTTTTGAGACTGTACCTACCCACTGTTTACCAACTTAATTGGTATCTGCATCCATAGGTTATTTTTTCTTCTATTAATCATCAGCTTAAAAATTATTTAGAAAAGGGGCACCTGGGTGGCTCAGTGGGTTAAAGCCTCTGCCTTCAGCTTGGGTCATGATCCCAGGGTCCTGGGATCGAGCCCCGCATCGGGCTCTCTGCTCAGCGGGGAGCCTGCTTCCCCCTCTCTCTCTCTGCCTCCCTCTCTGCCTGCTTGTGATCTCTGTCAAATAAATAAATAAAATCTTAAAAATAAATTATTTAGAAAAGTACTGAACCAAAACATTGTCACAAGGGTGGGATGAACAGCATAGAGATACCACTCTATGAACATTTTTACCCTTAAAAACAATGCCAACATGTTATACTCTTTCTAAACATATACAACAAGATTGATTTGCTCTTAAAACTGTCAGGGTAATCTCTTCAGTGTGATCAACAGACTCTGTTTTTATGACGTTTAGAGCTCTTCCGGCATATGGGCTAACTAACACCAAAGTGGAAAAGGTACACGGTGAAAACGTGAGCTGTAAAAACTGAGCCAGAGTGGTTTCTGAGGGGCTGACACGAACAATGCTTGAAACCAAGAGTCTCTGCCTTGTTTTTTAAACTGGTCTAGAATTATTATTAATAACTGAAGCTTATAAATACTTGTGAAAATTAATAAAGGGAAACCCAGCTAAAGTGGACTCAGGTTACCGGGAGGGGAGGTTGGAAGGTAGAGACATACAACTCAAGGTCAATTACGGACCTCTACTAGAAGAATCCTCAACAGGAAAGAATCCTCAATTACAGACCCCGATACTGAAATAGACATCGCATCCCCTACAAGAAATGGACCATCCAGGCAACTCAGCCAATGAGAAACCCTCATCACTCTGAACTCTTGCTTTTCTCCACTGGACTTTTGTCCAAACAACCCCTCTCAACTTCCTCATTCTTCTCCATAAAATAACATTCTTGTCCTTTTGCTGGACTTGCCTATGATTTTATCATCACTTGCTTGTCCTGAACTGCAGTTCTGTTATTATCAAAACTATTTTTGCTGGTAAAACAAATAACAGATTTATTTTTAAGGTTAACGTATTCAACCATTCACTTAAAAACGCTGAGGTTAACAACAGGCCAGATGCCAGGATATCTATGAATTTAGTGCTGGAAAGATGTTGTACTGTGTCTAGTAAGAAAGGAAGAGAGCAACCAGCACCTCAATTTAAAAATGCATTTGTGGGGTGCCTGAGTGGCTCAGTGGGTTAAAGCCTCTGCCTTCGGCTCAGGTCATGATCCCGGGGTCCTGGGATCGAGCCCCGAATCGGGCTCTCTGCTCAGCAGGGAGCCTGCTTCCCACTCTCTCTCTGCCTACTTGTGATCTCTCTCAAATAAATAAATAAAATCTTTTAAAAATAAAAAAATAAATAAAAATAAAAATGCAGCTGCAAGTTCTGAGCCAAACATTACAGAAATATATATCCAGTCTTCCCAGCTGATGCATGAAAAGAGTCACATTTATTTGAATGAGGTTTGTATCTTTGTTAGAATGACAATCATTAGCTCTTGGTAACAGCTGATAAGTTACTACTAGACACATTCTATCAGTGATCAAACTGAGACTGAACTCATAGACAAGGAAGATCACAGGATTTGGACTGGAGAAGAAATGCAGACAGACTTATGAAGCAACAAGAATATTCAGAGTCAAAGAGAGATACAAGATGATACTCATCAAATCTTAAACCCAAATCCAAAAAATTAAAGGCCACACATAAATCTGGCAGGCAAAAGAACCCTTAACTTAGTAAAGTGATTTTTTAAAAAAATAATTAGATAAAGAGGTATCCAATTTTTAACCACACTCAAATTTTCCTGCCATTTATTTTCATTTTAGAGCTCAGTTCAATCAATCTTCTGAAAAGTTACCTATGAACATGATTCTTTAAGATTTATTTGAGAGAGAGAGAGAGAGAGAGAGAGAGCATGAGCAGGGGAGGGGCAGAGGAAGAGAGAGAGAGAATCCTCAAGCAGACTCCCCACTAAGCATGAAGCCCAACATGGGGCTTGATCCCAGGACCCTGAGATCATGACCTGTGCCAAAATCCAGAGTTGGCTGCCTAACCGACTGGGTCACTCAGGCACCCCTATGAACCTGATTCTTGATAAGGAGCAATGCTACTATTATGTCTTAAAGAAATTGGTGAGGAAGAAGGGTTGGTGGGGCGGTGGGGGGTAGTGGTAAGAATGTTCCAGCAATGCTAACATGCCAATTCCGCTGATTTAAAAGCTGAGATACTGTGTTCCTGGCTCATATATGAGTGGAGGTTTAAACATACAAATTAATACACTACAGGAGACATGCACAATTAAATCTCAACCTGAAACACAATAGATATATTTATTGTCTGATGTGCAATCAATTTTTGTAATACAAGTGGGAATTCCACATCTAAAGATCCAAGCATTTTAATCTTACGTGAAGAGGGAAAATAATATATACAAAAATATACAGTAACTTCATTTTTCTTAGTTTGCCTTCCCATGTCTAGACAAGCTTAAGGACGATTTTAATATGAGACCGGGGAGGGTGGAGGGGAATAAAAATACATATCTTATGGTGTGTATTTGAAATTAAAAAGACAAGGAATCATAAGCTAGCTCCTTTTATAGGAGCATATTAGGATTATGAATTTTGATCCCATTTAAATCTATACTCTGCATAAACTACAGGCAAAATATGATTTTCTATAAACAGGAACTTGACATTTTTAGCTCTTATTCTAAAATCGCACTAACATTTTAATGGGATCTTCGCAATATTTTTCTGCCCTTTGTACATAGCATTAACATCCCATACATCTGTCTTGTAGGAGTTTTGAAGAGAATTTACCTACTACGGCCATATCAATATTATAACAAAGGCACGTGATATGGTGGCAGGGGGTGGAGCGAGCACATTCCTGGATTTGTTGGTGGAAAAAACCAAGGAGTAGGGAAAAACGGGTCAGGCAGAAATTCAGTAACGGAGCAGGGACAATGTGCTGGTCTGACAAGCAGACGTGATACGTATAAAGAAAAGTGGGTAGGGGATAGTGACGGGAAATCAGAACTCAGATGCCAGCTACCTCCTAACAGAATCTAGGCAACCCTGGAAGCTCTCACAGCAGAGTCACAATGTTCTGCAAAATTAAGTAAACCCAGAGAAGCATATTTGTATTATCTGGAGTTACCAAAGGAACTAAAGATAGAAACTCAGAGGCGCGAAGAGAAGCAGGAAGAGGTATGGTCAGTTTTTCAACCTAATCTCTTCCATACTACTTGGCTATTTTATTTATTACCATATGCAGGCATTTAATTTTTAAGAACAAAAATTTTAATTAAGGATGAAATAAAATGACATCGTTAGCTCTCCTTACGCATAGAGTAGATCCGTATCTAATTTGAAAAACAAATTAGAAAATAATGTTAGTATGACCCCATGACAATGGACTACAAGGACAATAAAATGATGGTAATAAATGTTGATACAGGCACAGAACAAAATCTGTAGGTTCCGATTTCTAACTCATATACCAAGTTATCTTATGGGTTAATGGGGCAAGAGCAGGGGGGAGGGGAGCAACAAGCAGACAGCTTTCACTTTTTATAGCAAGTATTACCGTAGCCTCAAAATTGAATATACATAACTTTTTGTCAGGGATCCTAAAGATGAAGAATTAAGCTAAAACATGTGTGCCTGGAAAAGTAATTGAGAAAATCAGAGTGAAAGATTAATAGCAATATTTCTGAAAGAGAGACTAGGCAGGTTATTTTTTTCCTTCCTACTTTCCTGGGTTTTGCCCCAAATATTGTACAAACAAGATGTAGTCCTTTATAAAAGAGAACTTGTATATTTTTTACAAATGATTTTTAAGAATATATTCAGATGAAAATCTTCTAATAGAGGCATGCTGACCCACCACTTCTTAAGGGTATCCAGCTTTATGAAATATCAAAATACAATATTTCATCAACTCTATGGCCTGCGTCTTAACCTCTCTGCAAACAAGATGTATCTTATAATCAGCCAGTGACAGGTCAGGATTTAGTAATCATTGCCTAAACGTGTGTGGAGATCACAAGTATCAGTGTTAAAACTTAGGAAGACAACAAAAAGGTAATCAAAAAATGACCACATGAGCCAGCAATTCCACTCAAATACAGGCTTGTGTATCCATGTTCATCACAGCATTATTCACAACAGCCAGAAGGTGGAAAGAGCCCAGGTGCCCATCAACTGATTAACGGATAAACAGATTATAGTGTATCCATGCAATAAAGCAATATTCAGTCATAACACTGAAAGAAATGGACACACACCACATGAACGAACCTTGAAAACATTATGCTATGTTGAAAGAAGCCAGACACAAAAAGACAGGATTCCATCTTTATGAAACAACGAAACCAGGCAAATTCATTAAAAAAGTAGATGAGAGGGGCGCCTGGGTGGCTCAGTGGGTTAAAGCCTCTGCCTTCAGCTCGGGTCATGATCCCAGGGTCCTGGAATCG